TAGATTACATGGACCTGCAGAATGCTTAGAAGTTGGCCTGCACACACATTGACTGTGATGGAGTGTAGTAATTTAGCCTCATGGCTAAGAGTGTTTCTCAACATACGAACAAATATTAGAGAGAAAGTGATTAAACTGTAGTGAAGCACTGAAACTATGTGAAACCTGTTTGATACTTGTTTATAAATGTAATACAATGAATACGATTGTAATCATGTTTCACATGGCTGTTTGGAAGGTTGTAATTAATGTTTTCAAATAATTTAAATCTAATTTGGTTGCAGATAAATGTACAAAAATGATTCTAGCATGCTAATATGCTAATGTGCAACCAGGTTTCAAATAATTGCCCAGAGTGATGATGGGAGCTGTGGAAAATTCTGAAAGGACTGAAAAAGCTGTGTAGCAGTGAGAATGAAGTTTTAATAAAATTTAAAGTCTAAAGTGGAGATCAAATACCTAGACAGATAACTTGACCAAGATTAATTTTAATAGTTAATTACAGTATTAATAAATTAAGAACTGCTTGTTCAAAATTTCTGGAGATTTTAAAGACAACATTCAAAAATATCTTTTGGACAGGAGTGTGTAATATTTAAATCCTGTAAATCTTTTATTGTATTTAAAAGAAGAAAAATTGTAAATATGACAAGTGGCTACATTGCTGAGAATAAGTGGGGACTTCTTGTTAAGTTACTTTTAAGTTACTATTAATAATAATAATAAAAAGAATAATAATAACAATAATAATAATAATTATTATTATTATATATATTATTATATTAGGTATTATACATATTATTATAATTATATATTATTATTATTATTATGAATGCTAGCACATGTAATTTTTATTTTTTGCTGAGTTTAACATAATGAAAATAAATAAAACATAAAATATAACATGCCATAACTTTTGCACGTTCCAAAATTAAGTTTCATTTTTTCCAATATGTTAAGCAAATGAACAGTAGTTGTATATTAAAATGTGCAGTAGTGTGTTCTCTGTTCTCTCATTCAAAAATAATTAAAAACAACTAGAAAATGTGATGTTAAAGCAAAAAAAAGAGAAATTAACATAACAAACAAACAAACATTAATGTGCAGTAATAGAGGGTTTTTTGTGACATGCTTTTGTCCTATTTTGGGGTGGAAATGCTTACTGAAATCCTATAGTTATGGTTATTGATTAAACTGGAACTTTGATTGGTCAACATCAAAATTACAATTTTGAATCTCACACATTTTGTGGGTTCAAACTATAAAAGCACTTACAGAATGAAGAAAAATACATCTCTCCAGTCATGAAGTACTAAAATCATGTGGTGGAATGGCTAATACAATATTGATTTTATGGGATTTCTGTAACCACGTTGATGATACTTCAAACATCGTTTTAAGGTCTTAAATATTACTGAATCTCTAAATTATGCAACATCTTACATTCTACCCGCTGTGCAAGCCGTGAGTTACTGTAAAGATTTCATCTCAGCAATTTACTGCTCACAATTATAGTTTTTAAATGTACTTGCTTGTTTTAAGTGTCTTGCCTATTATGTACAACTTTGTAGACATGTTTTGATTTCAAAATGCTCTGTTTGCTCCTGTGTGATTATTCGACCAATTGCTTGAAGGCTGTAATGTTCTCACACACTTTTCCAGGGTGCTTGGTCCCTGTAATTGCCACTGGCAGCTATTTGCAGCTCATAATTGCGTTCTCAGAATGCAAAAGCCATTGTTGCTTTTGATTTGTTGTTTCTTTGCCTTGGAGTGATTTTCAAATACCCACACCAGATGATTCCACTTGGACACAGATACCATATCAAGCTTTTCTCTTTAATGAAGTGTCTCCTTATGGAGTAGCCAGTTGTCAAACATGCAAATGAGAAGACATCACCCCACAGCTAGAAAAGGTAGAGACTCAAGGGGAGGCTAGTCCGCGTGCTTCTCTAATTCATATTCAGCACCACATTTTATGATTCCGAAGCATCAAGTTCTGTGCAAACAGTTTAGACTGCATAAAAAGAGATCTTTATGCATAAACAGTATTCTCTTTGCTATTCTACTCTACATACTTCCATTTCAAAGGTAAACAGGGAGAGAGATAGTTATTGTCTGTGGGGTAGGTATGTGTTCATGTATTTGATGGTAGTGCGCAGGAGCTGGTGAAGGTTTAGGATTGGACATGATTACCATGATATTAAGAGAGTCAATGCAAAAATCTTAAGGTTTAAAAACTGGTTTAAGAGAACAAGAAGACCTCGCTGTGGTATAACCCCAACATTTCAGAAAATCCAGCCTTTTTTGTTATTGAATTTACAATGAAGTGCTCATTCGGTAGCTGCAGCCCACAGAACTGTGTTTACAGCATCGAAGAGCAAGGAGAAGTGAGAATTGGTTTGGTTGAGTGCACCCTTTATATATTTCAACAAAGTGGGCTGTTGGCACAAAAATCAATAAAATCCTCAAATTAAATCAACAATAAGAATCGCTAATGTTAAGTGATAGACAGTCGTTAGTCCCTCAGAGGCCCTTCATACATGCTGATGCGGCGGATCTGCATTTCAGAAGTGTCCGACACAAGTCTATGCTTAGATACGTGAGATGACTCATGACGTTGAAGAGCCACTGAGCCATTAATAATGCATGTATTTAAATGTCTCATTTCTGCAGAGTTAAAGAACTATTGACCCCTCGTCCTTTTTATCATCTAATCACTTTCCGAGAGCCCTGGCAGAGCAATGTTCTTTGATGTGCTGAAGGTTGGGATTGATAAGAAGTACAAATACTGTAACACTCAAGATCTAAACAAACAACAGGAACAGTGTCTTATGAATAGCTGGAAATGACGGCACATGCTTAATTGTTCATAAAAGCTTTCACATTTCTCTCCACCCATCGAAGCTCAAAATTAGCCAGTGGTTCAGAATTACCCCCCTATTCCCAGCCCCCCACGCATCCACATTTATCTCTAATTAGTGCTTGTTTTTGCATTATAATGGATGCACTTCTATCCTAAGATGAAAGTGGAGCTTTTTGAATTTTCATGATAGTTAAGCTAAAATTCCTGAGGGGAGCTTAGTACTAATGCAGTGGGAATATAATAAGCACAGATAGACCAAGACCATAAGCTGAACACAGTATTCCCACACTCCTTGTGGGAGTGAACTCTGTGGAATTTGTGTCAGAATAGTGCTGACTTGCTGAAGCCCTAGTGGATTTTCTGGCAGGGGTGTGATCATTTATTTAGATTCAGAAAACGACTGCAGAGTTGACGAGCCTTGCTGCAATTCAGCAAATAAATAAAAAAGTGATTATTATTCACAGTATGTAAAGAGGTCATGTATGAATCTTTACCTTTGAGTATTCAGGAGTAAGAAATCCTCAAAAAAACACACTGCGCTTTGGTCTAGTTTAAGCAGAGGGTACTAATAATGATCTCTGAGAACCAAAACGTACGTCTATAATTTGTAGTTCATTTATTTTTAATATAATAGTTGTATTTAAACTGTGCATGTACTGTGGTACTCTTACTTCTTTTATTTAAGTTTTAGTTTAAACAAAAGAGAACATAAGAGAAAATTGTCCAATCAGAATTTTTTTTTCTGTGGTATTTAGGTAGATACAGCCAAATGAGCTCACTCATTAGTTAGGACTTCAGGAGCAGAACAGAAGGCCAAACCTAACCAACATAATTAAGAAGTGACAGTGGAATAAACCAAGCACATTTCGATTTACAATGGGTGGGTCCAATTTCTTAAGAAAAAAATGTCTCTGAAGGCTTTCTGGGAAACTTTTCTCATTTTTTGATTGAGTGTTGACATTTATTAAAACTCAAGGCTTAGCTCTGAAAGTCCTGGATTTTAGTGACTCATTGTTGACTGAGTATCATGAGTGTTTTTATCTTTGCCTTTCAGTTAGACAGTGGTTTAAAACACAAGATGGTACAAATTAATTCTGACTTAATACTGCATGTTTGCTCATTTGCTTCATATTGGAGGAATTAAAGTATTTTATATTTATCTTTTATCCTCTTGGGAAGAAGCACAGATCAGAACCACAAAGATTGAATTAGAAAAATTAGCCTCATACAACCGGTCTAGGGTTAGGGTTAGGGTTTGAGTTTAGAATTTGGGTATCATAGAGATGTTGAATAAAATTCTAAAAACCATATTCAATGTCTACATTCTTGTTACCATCGGAGCTGCTTTACAGGTGATCATTGATAATGATAATTGACACTGACAAAAAATATTACTAGGTAAATTATATGCTGTGGAAAGGCTACAGAGTAGAGTGGAAAATGCTAGGTCACAGGTTTGTTAGTCAGGTCCACATACCTAAAGGTAGCTAATCAGAGTGCCAAGAGCTCACAACTGCAAGTCATTATTGATTGATTGATTGATGTGATAAGCTCTTGACTGTGCTCTTCATTCTGAAGCCATGCTTAGCAACTACATTCTTCCTTCACAGACACAGGGATAAGCAGACCTCACTTCAAACCAGAAGTTCCAGCACCAGCTGCTTAAAGAAGGAGATTACACAACTGCACTGAAACTTGACAGTATCACATAGTGTTCCAGGGACACTGAAAAGACATCTAGACAGTCGAGTTTCACCAAAGTACAGGCAGAGGACCATCTAACACTTTCACAGATGCCATGTTTAGAAGCATGCTGATAAAAACACCCACAAGGTCGACAGATTCTGTGTAGACTTGCCACAAATTTGCAAAAAGCTGTTAAAACCTTGGAACTGGATCCAATATAATACCTTCTACAGTCCAGCAGGAGAGGCGTTCATAGCATGGCAGCTTACCAGACTCGCTCCTGTGAAACAAAATGAACAGTTGGTCTCACTGCAGCTCTGTCTCAGCTTGGTCATGTAAATTTACAGGCTGTAAACTGGACACAGACTATGAAGCAATTTGGAATTTGAGAGGCTCTTGTGATGTTTTGTTTCTATTTAACTGTTAAACAGGCCAAGAAATCATACATCAGTACAATATTCCTTTTATTGAAATTCACCAACATCAATATCTTATCTTAAATATCAAACATAACATTCTGTACATTTTACTATGCAATACTGAAGGAGAGTAAGACATAAAGATAAGGCAGTCATTACAAGAGCCATAAGAAGATTGTAAATTTGTGAAGTTTTCTATAGAAAGTGCTAAGTTGTGATACGAGCCCATGTGTTTTCATGTGACTGATAGCAGAAGTCTGGGGAAATCAGGGATAGAAACCCCGAGAATCAGTGCAATTATTGACACAGCCTATGTAAGAAGATTACAAGCAATATAAAGTAGACATATAACAGAGGTAAGGGAGGAAATCACAAGTGTCTTACTGAAAGGCAATATGCTAGAAAAGAAGTCAGAGTTATTTATATGCCAATATAGAATTTTTGAGACGTTAAAGTGCATTACTGAAATTACTGGCTGCAAAATTCAACAAGATCATTGAATCAATACAGAAACATTATATATTGCAACATGCTCTGATGGCCGACCTTTTATACAGTGAAAATAGATACTTGCAGCTTTGAAATAATACATTAACACATTTTAACACAAGCATGTAAACATGGTAATCACAAAAAAACAAACAAAAAACCCACAATAAACATACCAAAAATGTATTGAACACTTGTTTACTTTTGTCCTTCAGGAAAGCAGATGAGGTAACAATTGTCTACAGTGGTCCATGCTCCACAGTCATGTCCAGTAGCTGCAGTCCATTGGTTTCACAGTTCAGTAAGGCTTTCTGTATAGCACCATCAGCTGTGCTCTGTATTCTCATGGCTGGTTCTGGAAGGGTAATGTTATGTCCATTGTAGCGTCCTGTGGCTCAGTAAGTGGACGGTCGACCATTTCACGCTCATTCTGCCTGCCGTTCTCCTCGTTCATGTGCGAAACCTCAGTGGAACCGCCTTCGAAGCCGGGCACGGTGTTCGCCACATGAACCACATGCACCTTGTTGCGGCCCTTTTTGCTGAGGATGCAGCTGAAGACTTTCTTAAAGCCCTTGCGGAAGTGCTTGGACACAAGGGCATAGACGATGGGGTTGAGGCAGGAGTTGGCGTAGGCCATGCAATGCGAAAGCAGCCTGAACGCGTAGGTGGTCTGGTTGAAGGGGAAGTCTCCATAGAGGTAGCAGAGGATGACCACGTGGTAGGGCAGCCAGCAAATGCAGAAGAGCACGGTGACGATGATGATCATCTTGGTCACTTTGCGCTTGGCACGCTTGGACTCGGACATGCCGTCCAGAGGGTCCACGGCCGTCCACAGGTATTTGATGGTGCGTGTGTAGGACAGGCTGACAATGAGCACGGGGATGACGTAGCCAAACACAAAGGTGCACGTGTCCAGCACCTTGCGGTTATGCTCTTCCCAACCAGGAACACATACGTTGCTGTTCTCAAAGTCGATGAGGTCATAGTAGCTCAAGTAAGGGCCGGCAAAAATGAGAGATAGACCCCAAATTATTACCATGGCAACGACTGCATTACAGGGCGTTCGTAATTCTCTCGAGCGCAGGGGGTACCGAATGGCCAAGTATCTGCAAAATGAGAGATTACATTATTTCATTAACTTCTTTTGACAAAGAACGTGCCTCACAAATATTAACTGATGAATTTCTCACATGTCAAGAGGAAAAAAGAGCAATACTGTGTCTAACTGACAGCTTTGTGTAAGTTTGAGTTAAGTTAATTGTAACCCTATGAGATTAATCTGGTGGTAATAGCCTTTCCGGAGAGGAAATGAAGTTCTGTTGTTTATCTTTACTTGCTGGGGAGGTAATTGCCAGTGGCAATTCACAGTGTCCATTGTGGCTGGCACAATTTTCCTCACCAAGTGTGGAAGTGTCAAATTATTTTCTCTTACTCCAAAGGTAAACACTCAGAGAAGATGGAGGGTATTGCCCCTATGGTTGAAGTCCGATAGCAGCTCATTTCACCAGTCTGAGGGCACAGCCTTGACAGATCAGTGCTGTTGTTTCTTTTTCCCATTACATTTAAGGTCAGCTACTCATCTCGTTTGGAATCATCATGATATTCCAAAACATAATCTGATTGCTTAGTTACTGTTACTCTTTCCTAGACTTCACCTGGCAGCAAAGACCAGCATGCTTCCTAATGTGCATAATTTCACCTAAAAAGGTATTATTACCAATTTGTTGAAGTTCTGACATATGAGTAAAAGTCTGTGTTGAGTGGATTTGGTAGCTGTTTTAAAGCTCTTGGCTAAAGAGTGGAATAATTGGCTCCTGGTCTGAGGAGGTGTTTCATTAACGACACGAACAAAGGAGACAACCTTTTGTGACATAAACCATGGTGCTGTAATTGCTTTTAACCTTTAGACCTTCAGGACCTTTCTGTCTTCAGGAAGCACCAGGTGTCCAGTTCATTAATTGCCCTCATGTGGTTTCAAAATTTGTATAGTTCTGTGTTGAGGAGACTACTGAAAAAATGTGGCATATAAAGACACTTGTGGCTAATAAAGAGCTGCTAATATGAATAACGTGTATAAAACCTCTTTTTAGCTTGCTCACACAAAATAGCTAAGGTTTGAACTAAAAAGTTATTATATTGTGACAAAATGGGTGAAGATCTTGTTTTAAAAGGGCAGTCAAGAGAACAGTGAGAGAAATCACAGCAAGAAACACAAAAACCCCACTCTCCCCTGCTTTACTACATTCATACTGGGATTTATGGAAATGAAAAAGATTGTGGCAGTAGAGCCTATGACTGAGTAAGTAGATTTTTTTTGAAAGAAGTAGCATTACTGAGTTAAGAGAAAATAAAAAAGGATAAGATATGGTGTCTGTGTGCTGCTGCAGGTCTCCCTGTAAAGCCTGAAATAATAATTTAAAACTCAGAGGCATCAGGTTGGATTTGGTCTGAGTTTTCCGGAACACGTCATATATCTTTATGTATTAACATACAGGCTCAGAAAAGAAGGTCTGGTACAATGTTTAGGCCTTAAATACAAAATTATACTAATGAAGATATGATGACAATAGTAGATCATTCACTTACATCTTTGGAAGATGCCTTTGCCAACTATCAACTTGGTTCAGTTCTCTTTGAATACTGTGTTTTTCACGCTCTCGCAATCATCAGATTTATCCACTTGAGGAAGTGGTTCAAAGAACAACCAGCATTACAAGATGCTCTTCCACACATGCAATTACACATTTACACCAGAGAGGTCTCGAAATCCCCACAACTTACATAGTGCAGCTTTACTTATCAGTGATATTGTCAGTATTTTAGAGATAAATGAGGGAAGGAGTGTTATTTAAGGGATTTAAGGGAAGTGTACAAACATGGTTTGTATTAAGCATGAAAGTGGTCAAGCACACCAACTGTAGTTATCCAAATCTGGCACAGGCATTAGCTAGATCATTAAAACCGAAGACATTAATGCTAGAAATCATCAGCATTTTAAAGTTATATTGGTCATTATTGCCCTTGTGTGCAAAGCAAGACAGAAGAGTAGGATTTGGTTGTTTTCTTTTGCAAGCTTTATGTTTTGGGTGACTAGCAAGCCGGTCTCTCCTACTGCACTTTTTCCTGTTGAACTGTTTGAGTGATGTTTAGTAAATGTCCCAGTGTCCCTCATCCATGATAGAAAAACTCAGGGTCGGCCAAGAATGTGTCATTAAAAACAACAGCCCTGGTGCTGGAGGACATGGAGAAATCTTTGCTACCATTGCTCTAAAGTCTACTTTAGGTTCACTCTGCTGGTGGTCATAAGCTGAACTACTTTCTCCCAGATGAGTAGGTGGAAGCATTCTAGTTATGTGAAAGAAAATTTTAGGGTGGCAACCAGGCAACCAGCAACATAGAGTCAGGTAGAGCCAGTGCCAGTCTGGCCACCCCTATGGCTTCATCCGTGATGTAAAACCAGAGTGAGCATAGTGAGGTAAAAATGAGGTAAAACAGATGTCTTCATAGTTAGACTACTTAGATTATTCCAAAACATCATGATTAAAATAACTACCACCTGCTGCAGATGTATTCAAACTACTTACGTACAACCTAATATCTTAGTCTCTTTGAACTAAGAGCCAGCTTAGTTCATCATACATCTGTTGTATCATTTCCAGCACACACAACAGAAAAAGAACTGAAGACCACCCTGTTATCTCATCTAATGTGCTATATTGCTTGTAAATGGTGAGCTGGAGCACTCACCTGTCGACAGAGACGGCAGCGAGTGTGAAGCTACTGGCGTACATGGTGAGGTTAATGAAGAAGTGCACCACTTTACACATGAAGGAGCCGAACACCCAGCCCTCCAGCGAGTAGATGGTGGCTTGGAAAGGCACGCAGAAGATGATGAAGAAGAAGTCGGCCACGCTGAGGTTTAGGATGAACAGGTTGGTGGTGTTGTAGCCCACTTGGCCGCTGCGGAGGAGCACGGCCAACACCAGACTGTTCCCCACCGTTCCCAGCAGGAAAATGAGTGAGAAGACCACAGACACGATCACGCTGGCCGGGTTCAGCTGGTAGCTCTCCGAGGAGTTCCAGTGACCCACAGCTTTGCTCAGATCCTCGTGCTCGGACATTGTGTGCCTGTAAAAAAGTCATGCCAGTTAGTAGGCACCGAGGGGGCTGCATTTTGAATGCATTATGCTGTTCTGCAGTTTTCATTTAATATTCACTCAAGATATGTGGCTCATGGCTTCTCATATTGAACCCGACTGGTATATTTTCATGAATTTTGAATGATGTAAAGGCATTAGCTTTGTTTCTTTTGATGACATGGCATCATGAAGGAGTTCAAATCAGGACAGAAATGATCAAGACGGAGTGTGACCATCTTCATTAGGTCTGACTCAAAGGGTGGTGATGTTCAGCATGAGCCATGAAAGTGAGTGCAACTACAAAGCCTGGTGAGATAAAACCATGTCAGATGTGACACCACTCGCTGTGTTTTAAAACAATCACTGAGGAAACAGATTAGCTCGCAGGCCTTGATACTCTTGAAGTACTTGTGCTCATAGGAGATTATTACTCATATCGGAATGGATTTTAAAAAGGATTTGGATGAGATGAAAGCAAGGTGCAACAATGTGGACTGAGCATTAGCTGAGTGAAAGGAAAGGAAAATCATACCAGTGCTTTCAACAGTTGAGTGTTTTCGTCACCCTCAGAAATCGATCAAGCTGTGGAAAAAAAGACAATGACTTCATTTTTCATTTCTTTCATGGAGAAGTTTTCCCTTATATTTCTGGTAAATGAAAGATCTGCTCTATCTGTATTCTCAGTTCATTTCCCACCTATGTCATGCGTTAGCTCATAACAGCAGAATGTCTGCAGTGTAAAATATGAATTCCAAATGGATGTGGGGGGTGGTGGAGCCACACTCTGGCAGTCATTTGATGCTGAAAACAAGCAGGCTCACAGCACCCCAGGCACTGAGTGAGAATCTTTTATTGAAGAATTAAGACAAACCTGGTCTGAAATACCAAAGACACCTACTGAGGCAAGATTTAGAAAGCATGGGAGATGAAGTGCTTTCAAGGGTTTTCAAAGGGAATGGGATTAATAAATGAAGGGCGTTGCATCCTGTTGCAGTAAAGAAGTCCTTGGAGCTGCTCCAACTAGCCCAAAAAAGCACCACAGTATATCAAAAAGCACTTCACCTTCCCCTGACCATGTTTGCTATAAAAACATCAAGGGTTGTGATATAAAACTTGACCTGTATTACCCACACGGAAACATTCTGAGTCACTTTGTTGGTGCATGCTCTTGATTTTAATGGCGATTTGACAGTTTATCTCAAATGATTCATTGCTGACGTTCTCCACGAGGCAGCTGCATCAGTGGATGAAAGCTGGTGCAGTCCTGCTGACTGAGATCCAACAAGGCAAGAAGTAAACAAGGCAGAGCAAGACTATCTTTGTCACGAGAGCATTCCGCACCACGTGAATAGGGATTGCGCAGAATTTTGCGTATTTGAAGAGCAAGGTTGGGGAGAGGGAGGAGGTGGGAAAGAGACGAGGATAGCAGGAAGAAAAAAGGAGAGATAGAATAAGAGAGAAAAGGAGAGAGAAGTTTGCCCTTCAAAACGAACCAGGTGCTCTGTTTGTGTGTGTTGCCCTTAGGCGAAGTGATGGCCAGCAAGCCTCTAGAACCTCCTCCTCGCTCATGGTCCTACTTCAGTTTCCATTCACGTACAGTTACTAACGCATATGTAAAAGGCACTCCAGCCACATGATGGAACCTAGTCATTAGATGTTTAGTGCAGGTTCCCTGCTGGCAGTTCAACTCAGCTTCACTGTAATTTCGTCTTGCGACAGCTGTGTAACAACAGTTTACCTAAGACCGTACCACCAAAACAATACTAAAGGAGGAAAAACACTGACTGGCTGACTGACTGACTTTAGGTCCCCCCTGATTATAGCTTATGTTCAGCCTCCTGGCCTGGATCCCTCAGATCTATCAGTCTATCTGGCTGGCAGCAGCTGTTAAACTTAACTCAAAGCCGCTTCTGCACCATTGCCTCTAGAGGAAACGCTCATAGCACATCTTTAATTCCTCCTCAGGGACTCGCCTTGAGCTGGTCGCTGTCGTCTGCCCACCACAGAGCACAGAAAGAGCCGGTGTCCATCAGAAAGAGGGATGGCTGATGCCCTGATGAACCGTAGAGGCTGAAACAGTGGTTCCATCTTGCCATTTGACAGGTCCTTGGAGGGAAGCGCTGGCTTTCAATCTTTCAATTAAGTTCTAGACAATGGCTGATTTCCATAATAGTCTGATCATATCTCATGGTTTCATTCTTTCCATCTCTGCCCTGGAACAGAACTCTCTGGTTTATGAAAAGCTTAAAGGCATGTTGCAAATTGTGCAGTTGCTTGTTGTTAAGAAATGCACAAAGGTAGCATTTTCTTTTGAGGATTCATGTACAGTATGTGCATATATACATTCTAGTCTATAAATGAAAGAAAGCTGGTGATGGAGGGTAACGAAACATCTCAGAACTAAGATCTTACTAGCGTTTGCTGGAGAAAGACTTTTGAATTCAGAACAAAGAGCACAACATCAGAAAGACCCTCACCACAGCCATCCTGATCAAACCTCCCCCTTTATGCCTGAGATGAGTAGAAATGTCTAAATGTATGTTCCAGTGTGCATGCATCACAAATCAGAACGAGTGAATTTTTATCAGGATCCTTTACTTACTCAGGCAACGGGATGCACCATAACTAATTATCCATTGGTCAGCCCCATTGTCATGCTGATGTCCTGTATTCCACTCTTAAAAATCCTGGGAATTCTGCTTTCAATACTTCAACAGCATCTCCTTCTCTCTGCTCCCATTGCTATTCTGCTTCTCTGTGTTCTCTGTGTGTTTCTCTATCCCTCTTCCACTCGCTCCCTCGTTCTCTCTCTCTCTTTCTCCCTCTCATATGGAAGCTCCTCCTCCACATTCTGTTCGACGTTCACACATCACTGCAGAAGGAATGGAGACACAGAATAAAGGTGCAGAGTGTTGCACTCTCAACAACACACACACACACACTCATGGTGCATTAAAAAGATCTCAAATGCAACTCTTCCAAAATGGTTCTTGGCTTGGATGTATGGACAAAAAGTAAAAAAAAAAATAATAAAAAAAGATCCTTACCATTTCAATAATTTCTCCTAGACTGAAATGATATTAGATGTAAAGACTTTTGCCTGCTGCTCAGATGGTCCTGAGAAAAAGACCCCAGTAATCTCATGTGAGATCTCAGTAAAGTCACATTATGTGGTCAGATTTGCCATATTTATCTGCAACTGAACTGCAGACAGGAATTTCAATATGAACTCAACCATTTCTCATCCAAGACTAAGAGCCTTCTCAGTTTAGATGCTGTGAAGTATCTTATGTCTCCTTTTTCTCTAATACTATTTCTCTTAAGTAATTTTAGGAGAAATGTCTGTGACAAACTTGTTACATAAAGGAAATATACTGAAAATCAATATTTACTCTCCTGAGCCATCAAAGATCAACATTTTCCTCCAGGGATTTAGGAAAAAGCCTTCAATTGGTATAAAACCTTTACACCATGTGGAGATTCTAAACTAGTTCACATTCGCACATCTTGTCCACAAAAATCGTTCTTTGGAAGGTTCTTCTGTCATCACTCCAAAGAACCACCTTTCATTTTTTACTGTTTTTAGCACCTTTAGGGTGTTGAAGGAAAATTTCTGTGCTGAAATCCTAATTTCAAATTTGTAAGCTTCTCTTACAGATATGGACTTATAAATGATAACTATGAGTCTTGGATGATTAATGACTGCAATCTGTCTGGAATGAACATATTCAAAGATGTTCCCACTTCTGACTGTCGTTTCTTATGCACTGTCTACACCCACTGTCAAAATTTTAATCAGAAAAGACCCTATTGAATATTAAATTAATCAAATGACTACATGTTGCAAATGCCCGTATGGACATTTAGCATGAAAAAGGTGCACCAAGCAACAATATCTCTGACAGCCATGGGTGTCGCTAAGCCAGTTTTAGGGGGGCTTCAGGGTCTATAGTTTCTTCTCATTTATAATATACTGTAATAGCAGGGTGTAACCTGGGGGAGGCGCTGCTACTGCTGCCCTAATACAGCACTGCCTCTGCTGTACTACCTAACTGACATTCTAATGTAACATGAAAATTGGATCCTGATTTGACCAATCAGATGAAACCTTGTAAGTTGTAAACCAATCATATCAGACCTGGGGGAGGGTCTCTGTTATTGCACTGCAAAGTAATCAGAAAACGCTGAAGCTCAAGACAGGATTTTAGCCAAAAGGTCACTAAAATAAATTAGACCTTATTAAAAATCTATAATATACAGAGTGAATATACCTGCCTATAATATGGATGTGTGGTAAATGATGGCCAGTACGGCTGGCTGTCAGATTTTTACTCAGTTACTTGTTAGTTAACAATAGATAACTTTTGGTGTACATGAGACAAAGAAAAGTAGTTACACTACGTGTCCACTTGCACACTTGCCTGCTGCATTCTGCAACACTGGAACTCTCCGCACGCCCACAGCTGGTGCCCCGATATGCTGTTTACTGGAAATTTACAATGAAACTACAAATACATACATTTGCTTTTTTATGCTTGTATAATTTTCAGTCATCCACACAAGTTAGCTCACTCAATCTCACTAGCAAGCTAGCTAGCTAGCTACCTTAGCAAGTAATCTACGAGCTCCGTATGATTTAAATTTTGTCTTCCACTTGAACTGTGTAAACTTTATTCAGTCAAACATCTTCCCTCCAAACTCTCACTGTAAACAGTTCAGTGTAAAACCAGATATTTTCATTATTATATGAAACTGTCATAGATTGAGAAAAGATAGAGAAAGAGAGCTGCTGTTTCTCTAGAAAGTTAGCTATGTTTGCTATTCATGACGAAGACCAAGTGCAATGTGGTGGCCTCATTCATTTGCATAAAGTTGAAAGCAGCTGAACTTTTTCCGCCCACACCGCAAACCATCATGCACTGCAAACCATCATGCACCGCATGATGAAATGAATAGGATGTGGCGAGGTGAAGTTGCAAGTCTGCCATTAGGTTTCCGGTAACATTAGCTAGCTAGCTGACAAGCCAACTATTTTAATGGCACTTCATTGTGAAAGTGTAAACGAGCGAGAGAGATAGAAACCAGGATTAGGCTAAATTATTTGAAAAAGTAGTAATGGCTGAATAATGAATACACTGTCCTAAATGTATTCAGTGTTGTATTACACTACAGCACATAAAAAGTAACTTATTCAGAATATATTCAGAATACATATGGATATTACGTTGGGGAAAAAATGCCATTTTAATATAATGATATTTCATGTTGTTCCATGCTGTTAGTACTTGGCATTTTTGTTCATGTAATTCCTCTGATAGTTTTCATGAAAAGTTCAATTATTCAAATGAATACAAAAATGAATACAAATTCTCAACACTTTTTTGGCTCTTACCACTTGGTCTCACCCTGACCAATCTTCAACAAGAAAACCCATCATCACCTCTGCTCTGACTGCTGAACATGTGTATCAGCAGACGACCTTTTCTTCTCCTCTCTTTGCTTTCCTACTTTCAGTTGTAAAATAACCAATTATGGGTTATTTCAGCTTGGCATAACTAAATATACATGAACTGAATAAATAGTACTGACTTTGCATTAACTATTGTACTATGTGGTACATATACAACTATGTGGTAAGACTGTGCTCACACAAAATGTATTTCAAATAGACAAGATATCAAATCATCAAACTGCATTTTCACAGTTTATTAATACCTACAACACTTTTGCCATGTTAAGTGTTTATTTGCTAATACTAAAAACTAAGATATTGGAATGCAAATTAATTTGAAAAGGTATTCCATACAGTAAAGTGCATGAGACATGTATTTTGGCTATTTTCATACATATTCAATGTGTTACATACATTTATTTTTGTATGGTACATTATATGTTTAATAATTCTCCACATGTTTAAAAAATGTATTTTAATATTTGGTTAATGTGCCAATATATTCTGAAATAAATTTTAGTGTTTGGGATGTATTTTTAACGTGAACTGCAATGTATTTGAAAAGTATTTCAAATATATAAAAATGCATGTCCATATATATATTTTTCCATATGGTTGGGGCCAGTTTGACCAAATAGCCCAATTTTTATACATTTTCTGGCTGTTCCTACTCTAAAATATCATGATGCTGGGGACAATACCCACAGACCCCCTTAGTGCAGGCTTAGCCCTCTATCCATGAACCTCTAGTGAGACCCCTGCTAACAACTAACAGCTGTGCATGGAAGAAGAAACCATAAACCCTGGCAAAGCTGTGGAGACTCACACAGAGGATTCTCTTATAGCCACTGTTCTGCTATTGAAAGTCAAGGCTGAAAACGCAGAAGATGTGAAAGCGTGATTCAGAATGTGTTGTACCAGGTCATGTCAAGGAAATTTTATTTTCTATTTGTACAAGCAAAGTAATTTCTTTGGTTCTTCAGGAACCTTTATCTAACATCAAATCTCATCAGTTAACACAATTCTGCTCAGTTTAATTGAAAACAGTTTGACTGAGAATGTTGCCACTTCTGACAAAATGTCCTCTATGTACAGTATTTTGCTAATGTTTTAGGCACCAAAGAAAATTATATTTACAAAGTTATTTAATTATTTAATCAGTAAGTGTTTTATTTGCTGAGAATTCATTAATTATACCATACAATACCATACAAGTAATGTAAAGTATCATATGTTAATTATCCTAATGGTTTAACAGGTGACCAATAGTTGATTCTGAATGAATTTGATGGTCTCCTAAAGGCATTTTAAGGTATTCTACAGAAAATTAGTGGTCTCTGGAGACTATTAAGTCAGTTTCCATTAGAAAGCAAAGCCATTAGGTTTTAATCCTGATCCTTTTAAATACAATAAGCAGTGTCAGTGTGTTTCCTTAACCTTTCCAAACCTCTTGTCATGGCGGCCCAGTACTATTTGCAGTTGCCATCCAACACCTAGTTTGGCAAAGTCAGGAGTCGCAACCCGAATGTTTTTTTTTTTTTATTGTCTTGGCTGTAAATATGTCTCATTATGTTCTATTGTGTTAGTATAGGCTATCAAATTTAATTTAAACGAACACAGACTTACTTTGCTCTGCTTTGAGCCATAGCTGCTTTTCTCGCATCTCCGGCAGGAAATTTTTCCAAAAGTGGAATAGTTTCTTGTAAAATGTCTCTCAACATTCAAGTTTTCACAAGGCTGAAATCTTTTTCGAATTTTCCCGTTCCACCATTTAAGCACCATTTAAGGTGGAATGGGAAAAGTTGAACAAGAAGCTGGCGAACGAGAAGCTGACTTCAGCTCTGTCACTTTTTAGTGTTTGACAGTTTATCTTTGCAGATCAAACATATCAGGAAACCAGCTGAGTGCTTATAAATGCAAATAAGTCATTTGTCCCCAAATGATCCATGTTCATCTTCAGTATTTCTCTTTGCCCTTTCACTGGCTTCTAGTTAGGCGAGATTGTTAACTGTGTTGCTATGGGACCAGCAGTCTGTGCACCAATCTTCAGTGTAAAAGGTGGATGAATTAGCAGTTATACAGTAACTCCAACGTTTAAGACCATTTATTGTTACAACTGTTAGAACAATCAGCAGAGCTTTATTTTATTGCAAAGGAGGATTATTTTATTTTTACCTAAAAATCTGATTCTGCCGCGGAGCTGCAACAGGGCAGTAAAAGAGCCACAGTTGCAGACCCCTGGGCTAAGCAATACTTCAGGGGTGGGGAACTCCTGTCCTTAGGGCTAAATTCCTGCACAGTTTTGTGATTTTCCTGCAGAA